TAAAAATACATTTCTTAAAAAAAAAACTTTTGAAAGACTTTTTGAAGAATCTTAATATTTGAACATTTTAACTAATTAAAAATTACCTAACAACAAGTACAAGACTTATGTCAATTTTGAATTCAATGAAGAATACGAGATTGTATTTATCATGTGGCCGTCATTAATTTAGCCCATCCATTAGTTCTACTTCATCGAACAATTTACAAACCAGTTATAAATTGTAGATATAAATGGCATACCATCAGAAAATAAACGTCAGAAAATTGAATACTCCTTTGTTCTATAATTTTAAATTCAACAAGCTGATTAATGAAAATAAAAGAAAATTATTAAATAGATATTTTAAGAAACAATCGAAGAAGAAAATAAAGGTTATTAATCTTCAAAAGGTAATGTGAATTACTGTCACTAGCAACGGTTTATATGATTAATCCGGGGGGGAGTTCGAACGAATGATTGCACGGTTGAATCGTTTGGCAACTTTTATTCTATAACAGAAGAAAATAAAAACTCTATAAAGCTCAGCGTTAGAAACGGCTTAGAACAGCGTTTATGTAATGGGAAAAATTATTTAAGAGATTTATCTGTGGGAAATTTTGTTGATCAAAAACAGCATAAAAATTCTCATAAAATAAAGATGTCAGGGGAAAAGTTAATTTGTGTCTAGTTTTCCCACGTTTATTGTTCGTAAAAACAAAATCGTTGCAACAATTTAATCTAAGCTGTTTCAAAATAATGATGGCAAACCTTTTTGATTTGCCGAGCTGATTTTTTTTTTATTTTTGTTTCCTCTCCAAGAACAAGAATGGCAAGAATAATCTTCATTTAAAATGCAATAAAAAACTAAAAAAGAATTTTGATGTTTATTTTTCTTTAATTCACAAGTACTCAATTTCGAAACCATTTATCTGAAAATATAATCCAGAATTCAAAAAAGCAATTAAATATTAAGTACATTAATTATCCAAGAAATTAAATCAAATATACTTTAATCTGGCTTTTCTACATGTCTTAAACAACATTTATATGCATCTCTCTCTCCCTTTGGATATATATAGGAGAAAAGCAACACAACTCACTAATCACGAGATCTCCGGAACTATTAGATATAGACTTGAAATTTGGCATGCGTGTTACTTTTGTTGAGTAGATATCTGCTAAAAGCTGGGTTTTTTTTTGCGGAAATTGACTTCCAAAAGAGGGTGGAGGAGACAGAAACGTAAAAGAAAAATATTCCTCCGTTAGAAATTCAAGTCTTGTCTGGAGGCAAAGGCTGTAAGAAAGATTTTGAATATAATCGAAAGAATAATGCTAAGACTTGGGATATCCATAATTAAAAAAAAAAACAATAGTCATATAACATCATGAAATACTCAAAGGAATGGGTGAATAACGGCTAGTATATACATAAGAACCATACATCTCCACTCTTCTAAAATGTCAACCAAAGCGTACAAAATCCGAACGTATTATAAATTTAGCAACATATGTAAACACTTTTCTTACAGATACACGCACAAAAACGTTTCATGTGAACATTAAGTACACAAGAAAATAAATGGATGTAAAGAACAATGAATATAAAAAAAAAACTCAATGGAGAAAATTAGAAAAAAAAGAAGAAAAAAAACATGGCCTGTTCCATATTCTACTGGATTCTCTTCCATTGAATTTATTTGTTTTTATTTTTTGCATAATTGCGTTAGTAAAATTATTTACCTATTGTTGAAACCTTGTTATGATGCTATTTCGTAATCGCTTAGCTTGTTTAAACTTGCGCAATTATTTTGCTTATTTTTTGTGAGCTTCATGTTTTTTTCATACTGTCCATACATGAGGAATTTTTACTCTGGATAGATAAATACAAATTCCCATTTTTCAATTGAAGAGCATAATTTTCACTTATTTAGGTTATCACTTTTTAAGTATTTTTAATTAACAAAGGGCAACAGTCATAACGTTAAAGCCACTCAAAATCCTAACGATTAGAGGTTAAAGCTCGAAAGAGCTAGGCACTCTGTTCATCCACCCAGTGATTTTTTTTATTTAGGTTCGGAAATTAACAATAGAAACGATTGTACTACTGAAATCCAAAAGAGAATCACTATGGCTAATAGATGTTTTAATGGAATACGAAAATATATGAAATCGAATTTCATCAAAAGAAAAACAAAGATTCTGTTGTATAAAAGTCTTTTAAGATGAGTATTAACTTATGCATGGGAAACGGTCCATGTTTCGAGCAGACGAGAACATGATAAGTATCTACGAAAGGAAGATTTTTAAGATTTATTTTTGGAGGAATTCAGGAATATGAAACGTGGCGAAGAAGATCGCATTTCGAGCTCTATCATTCATATAAAGAATCTGACATCGGTCGTTAATTTCATCAAATGCAACGAATTAAATGGGTAGGTCATGTTGTCAGAATGGACGAAGACTGCGCCACTAAAAAGTGTTCAATGCCCAACCAATTAGCACACGAAGAAAGGGCAGGCCAAATTTTATATGGGTTGATGGTTTAGAAAAAGATCTTCCAGTTTTGAGAACTAAAAATTGGAAAACACTAGCAGGAAGAAGGCTAACCTGGAAAAGACTTCTTGAGAAGCTCAAGGCCTACCCTGGGCTGTCGAGCCACTGAGGAAGAAAGGGGGAAGATAAATACAAAGGAAAAAAATTAAACACTTATCCATGTGCATGTAATAATTATGGAGAACATTATTATTGTGGAAATACATTACACTGGTTTTCATTCAAACATACTTATTATTACTTTTTGATAATACTCCATCTAAGAAATGCTACTTTCTAGGTCACTACGGGTCTTTCAAGCCCCCGCCCCCATTGGCCAACATATTTTAATTTTAGCACTAAGATTATGTTCTGGCCTTTTTCATTTACCATTTTTTAATAAAAGATATAATACCTCCAATAAAAGTAGTATGTGTACTCCACTGACAGTAACTTCTAATTAATTTCAAGTTTTTTTTTTAAAAAAAATTAAAAATAGCTTGTAAGCAAAGGTATTGTATACTTAAATTACAAAAGATTTCATTCAGTTTGCTCCGTCCTTTTCTTTCGTAAATACGTAATCAATACCAGTACATTACAAGCATTTTAAATCAAAATTTAAACCATGGGGAAAAATATCAATAGCATATACTAATAGACCCTGCGGGAGAGAACGGGAGTGGAAAAATAAACATACAACGATGACAAAACAATAAAAGATAAACGGATACGAGAATAATGGCAATAGATATATATCAAATATATGACTTAAATTTTTATATTTGAAAAAAAAAAAGATGTTCAAATAAATTTACAGGAAAGCTTTTTATATAAATCTATTAGAATTAGACATATAGTCCCATACATCATTAAAATAAAATGACTCCTGTTCACTTAGAAACTGTCGTTTTCATTTCAAACGATAAAAAAATGAATTGAAAAATAAGAAATAATAAGCTTGTAAAGTAAAGCAGATGTTTTTCATATTACACAAGTAGATAACATTTCCTAACATGCAATGCATGTTTTTCTTGTATTTTTTTCAAGCCATTTTATCATTTTTAAAAATAAAAATAACAGGAATCTTATTAAATGTTATGCATGATGAAAATATTCTATACATATTTATGGCCTTGATTTGACAAAATACAAATTTATGTCCAATGTAAAAATAAAATTTGTTTTTCGACCGAATTGTATGATAATAACAAAAGAGGTTTAAAGAGAATTATAACGTAATTACATCAAATTGTCCTAAAAATAAGTGTTCTCTCAAAAAAGATTATGTTAATGCTACACTAAAATTTAAGAGCTGCTGCAACATTCATTCCCAATTAGTAACAACAAAACGACAAAGTACTTGTGTGTGTGTATGAAATACATATATATAGTACTTAAAGAGTGACAAAAATTTTAATTTAAAAACATTTTTAGGAATGAAAAACATATCACACAAATGGAAAAAACAAAAAATGCAGCTTTTTTTATTTGCATACAAATTAAAATAGAACTGTTAGTCATAGTATCCATTTCAAAAAATACTTTTGGTACAAACAAAGCATAGTTTTGAATCTTTAAAAAACTGCTGAATTTTTTTTTTATTGATTTACAATTCAGATAAAACAATTCAATACTATATTTAACCAAGCCTTATGACGCAACCAACTTAAGCCAACCACATTTTAACATACCTATCTATCGAACAAGATATTTAGAAAATAAATAAATAAAAAGGAAATTATAAAATACAGTGTATAAACAAAAAAATTTTCGGCCAAAATACTTTTAATTTTTTCATTTACCCAATACAATTATGTATTCTTAAATTGTAAAGTCTCTAATATTGTTGCATAAAAGTATAATGGATATGTAAACCAAATAACTATTTTATAATTGATTTCTTAATTTTAATTCATGCATTTTCCCTAAAACTTTTTTTTAAATGTCACCTTCTGTAAAAGCAACGCAATGTAAAAGGGAGAATTTTTTTTTTCTTCTATTTCCTAAGCAGTAAGCCATCTGTGTAAAACTACACAAAATCTTTACATGATTTTCGATAATCCTCCTTTTTTTCATATTATTATCACGACTCGTTAATCTTCTTTACTTCTCGACAGTTACAATGTGTCGCAGTAAAACTAGCTTTATGAGGTCATTATAATCATAACTATATCATGAAATACTACGGATAAGACGTTTATGCTTCATATCATGGCGGCTTTGAAATCCCACCACTTTTTCAATTCCTCCTATTAGTTCACACTCTCTCCCTTTATATATATATATATTCATATTTCAATCGTTAATGAAATATTTTCTATTCAACATTCAAGTTCAAATGCATTTTTTAAAACTTGTAGTGGATGATGTTAATACAGTTTTTTCAAATATTGATTCATTAATTAAATTAAAAAAATAATAAATAGTAACAAACACACAAAAATAACAGTCCAACAGCATGTAAAGAAAGGAAAATCGTTCCTTGTGTCCCTGTAGCGCAATGAATAACGCGTTGAACGTATAATTCATAGGGCGTGGGTTCGAATCCCACCTGGGATGGCCTAACTTCTGAAGATGTGATTTCTTTTTTACTATACTATTTTATTAGAGTAATTAAATTTAATTAATAATAAATAGTAACAAACAAAAATATAATAGTCCAACATTCTATGTAGAAAGGAAAATTGCTAGGAAAATCACTTTCTATTTTGTCACTTAATATTGTGATTTTGTCATACCTATATGCATATTTGTATCAATTGTAACTATTTAATTAAAATAAAAAATTTCTTTGTTGACCTAAATTTTTTTTTGTATTACTTGTTTTATATATATATATTATTTTTCTATTCCTAGTCACGGAACGGTCATCAAAGAAGAAACATTCCTACATCAGATATTAAAATACCGAAAAAACAAGATTATTTCATTGTACAGTATCTATAATACTCACCGCCAATCAATATGATCCGACTAAAGCGTTCTCATGAAGAAAATTAAATGATGTGGCCTCGAACTAAAGCTCCTTATTCTGCGGCTTTTTCTTTATCTGATGTCTTCTGCTTATGTAAAGATGAAATTGATATAAAACTGCAGAAAATAATAACTGATCAGGATTGCGGAAAAAACTGAGGTCAATGACTCGTTGTCCCGCCAATAATAAATTTCGTAAATGTGGAAATCAAGTTTTGACCTTGGGTTTTTACGACATAATTACGTGAATATCGTTACATAATTTCTGTCCCATTGATTAAATCGAGTTTAATACAATTAAAATGGCCTGTTTCTTAAGGTGAAGTTTAACAACTGAACCGAAGTCTTTTCAGAAGTTAATCTTAAATTTTTATTTTAAGCAGAAGAGAGAAAAATGTACAAAAAGATTATCATATGTAATTTGAAAATTAATAGGGTTTTTGCATATATTTATTTACAATGAACTTTTTGTTTGGTGCATATGAAATGTTGGATTTTTAAGTGAATATATAGAACTCTGCATACCTTTTTTTTCAAAAAAACTGTTTTATTTTAAGGCATAGGTGTCTAAACTATGACCGCTTGTGGGCTGCATTGCAAAAATAATTTTTTTTTCTGGGCCGCACATACACTATTTTTTTAACAAATTGAAATAAAAATTAACTCTATGTAATTTTATTAAAATAAATTAACTTATTTTTATTATATATTTTTTAAATTTGAATTAGACATGAAAAGATGTACACATTTATTAAAAATAGGTTAAAGTTCGTTTCATTTAGTTTATATTTCATTAAGATGGAAAAAAAAATGAAGTTAATGAGATGAATGAATTTGCGTTTGTGTTGAACAAGCAAATCGATATCGGGTTCAATAGACAAAATTGGAATTCTTTATCCATTTTCAAGATGTTTGTCAGTGATCTTTGTCCTATTTTTGTTTTTTGTATACTTCATTCTTGGAAAATAACTGTTCACAAATATAAGTACTGCCGAAAGCTGAAGACATTAGTAAAGCATGAGAGTGAAAATGAGGATATTTATCGCGGGCGTGGTGTAGGTAATCTTTATAAAACTCTACTATAGAAACATTCCCAAATTTTTCTTTCAGTTGAATGTCACTTTGCAGTTCAATGCAAAAGTTAATTTATTTATTTCTAGAGAAAACGGAGTAGAAAATATATTGAAAAACTCTTCGTTTTTTCGAAAATCTTGAAATTTTCTTTCAAACTCTTCAATTAAATCGAAATTTAATGCAGCATATTTTATGTATACATTTATTTTTTTAAATAAAAATGCATAAATTAAATTATTTTCATAATTTGCGTTTAGGTGGCATTTTAAAAGTTTTTGGGCCGCGGGCCGCACTTTAGACAAGCATGTTTTAAGGTGACCAATCGTCCTCCTAAAGGGAGGAAAGTCATTCTTTTATAGGTTCTGTCCTTCCTTGAAAAGTGTCCTCCTACTTTTCAATATTTTAAAACTAATCTGTTAATCTCTGTATTCAGAGATGCCAAGCATAATGGAAAAGTTTACCAACGAAGTGCAGAATTTTTACCCAAGATGCTTCTAATATGTCCAAGAATGGTCTGAAACAAATATCAAAGGGAATAACAGTTTTCAATATTTTTTGACTTCATCGCAAGTAAAAATGGGCAGATGCAGAAAACTGTGTTGAGTTGAAAGAGTTTTCCAATTGGCAATGATTTTTGGACAAGTGAGAAATCAAGATTGAGACTTTAGCTGCAGCACTTATGGAAAATTTCAATATGAAGAATATTTCTTCCTACGAAATTTCCGATATGTTAGAAAATGATACATTAACAAACAAACAAAACATTCTCAATGGAAGAATACTCGTTTATGTAAATTTTTAAAAGGGATGTAAGTATAAATATAGTGTATTTTTGTTTGAATTAATAAAATGCTCCTAATATTTACTTAGCAATTTTTTCTTAAATTTTTCATCCTCCTTTTCATTGTAAAAAAATTAGTCACCTTATTTTTTGGTAATCAAAATAAGCTGTTGGATTTGCTTCAATTCTCCTATCTCAATGAGTTTTGAATGCATATATGCCTGGCCTAAAGAAATTCTGATCTTTACAATCAATACACCGATATGAAATTTTTCAGACGTTCTACATTCTCATACTTATTAGTAGGTAAAAACTGTTCTAAGTGTTTTAAAAATTGGAAGTCAATTGGCGAAATATTCGGTGAATGAACTGGGTATCACTACATTTCAAATTTTAATTCATTTCATGTCGCATTTGTTTCATATGACCGTAAGTATTGGGTCATGTTGATTAACAAGTGATGAGCGTATGATTTTCATTTTTTCGTGCATTTCATCAATGTGCTGACAGTACAATAGATAGTTGGATTCGTTTCCACCAATGCTTTCAGAGCATCATTTTTCGCAGATGTTTTGGGTCTTCCACGCAGTTTATTTTGTAGGGGAAAATCATGAAACCGAAATTTTCAAACAAACGCTACACTTTTCGATCGTTTGCAGCATTTTCCTCCAAGTGCCTGGATTAAATGCATGCAGCTTTTGTACCATTATTACCAAGTTTATACTCATACAAAAAAATACACCACAAATATCGGTTGAACATATATACTTACGAAATTCAAAACAAATAATGAACTAAAACACTTTAGAGAAAATCTTTTTTTTTGTTGTTGAAATGTGACTCTGGCAATGGAAAATGCAGCTATAAAGGAAAATATGCCAGAAACAAAAGCATAGCGAAAACAGGAAGGCAAACATTCACACGTAAGGAAAATCCGACATTTCATATACAGAGGCTAATAGAATTGAGAGACATTCAAGAAATTTGAGTTTAACCCAGCACTTCTCGCGCAAGGTATATCATACCCACCACCTAACTTTTTTTCAAGACTCCGTCTAAACCTTCTGAAGTGAAACTTCTTTGCGGACGGGAGTGAATGGGAAATTTACCCAGTTTTGCGTAACAGTGAAAAAGCGAACGGAAGTAGTGATTCCCCCCATCCCCCTAAACGTTGCCATGGCGAGGAGATAGCGAGCGGGAGGAAAAGAGAGCGGAAGGAGGGGGGGGGGTACACCATGTGACCTGCGTCATATCCGTGAAAAAGTTGGACGATTGTTAAGGGGGAATTGTGCATCAAAAGTATATCTTGCTGCTATGGACGAAAGGCGCTTAGGTGTTGGTGACATACAAGTGGGTACCCTTGCTACTCTCGTAACGAACTCGCGTGGCGTTTTTCGTAGTTTTTATGTAATAAACGTGCAGTTTTCAACGAATAAACGCACCCAGAATATTACCATTATATGGCTCTTCCCGTTTCGGGAGTGTCTGGGGCATTGTGTATATGTCTTTGTTTGTGCCAGAATAGCTACGGATAGCGTTTTGTAAACAAACACAGTGACTTCTGTTAGTGATGCATTAAGCTTATATTATTCATTTTTATTTTCATTGAATTAAAATTAATTCTGGTCAGAATGCCTAAAACAAATGCAAAAAGAGGAAAAAAGTTTCGTGAAAGGGGGGGGGGACTAGCATTAAGTCCAGGCGAAAGTCTATATATCACCAGGTAGTTGTGTCGCAGCTTTATCCATAAAGTTTTAGTGCTGTACACATCAGAGACTGCCGCAATCATTGGATCCGATGATGATTAAAAGCCGATTATCTTAACTGGAGACTTTAATGTTAATTTTGCTTCAGAAGAAGCAAAGCCACTCATTGAATTCTTGAAACGGACACTGAACTTGACAATGAATACCGATTCTAGAGAAGGAAAAACAATATACGGAACCACGATTGATGCAGTTTTCTCACATTTTTTCTTGATTATCTACCAATCCAGGATTTTTATATCCTACTTTAGTTACTACACAACTATTGTGTCTTTCTTGGAAAATGGTGATGCAGAAAATTGAATAAAAATGTTTTCATACGATAAATGAAGTTCGAATTTTATTTGATTCAAGTTATCTCAGCAGTTTAATATAATTAGATCTATTCCTGCATTTACGGCCACTTCTATAGCGTGGCTTTCCACGTTCTTTTTTATTTTTGGAGAATGAATGGATTCTAGCGTAGCTGACTTTAAGGCCATATCCTAAGAGGGACCTTAGCTTGTAGGCGAAATCTAAATATATATTTTTGGATACCGCCTCTTCGGGTATGCCATACCCTGTGCGTGAATCGCCGTTACAGTTATAAATGCACGAGCACGCTTTAAAATCTTTATTATGCAATGGCGTATTATTGTAGTTATGATGAAGAAATGTGATATTTAAATAATTTAATAGATGTAGTACAAAAGTATTTTCGGATGAAGAAAGTCTCTTTGCGGGGATGATGAGGCAGAATCGAAGGATGAAGAGTATAATAGCAAGTACGATTCCTCTACTGAAATCAATGCAGATAATTTAACTGAAGGAAAAATTATAGTTCTTGATTAAATGATCACATCATATTCAATGGCTAAAAAATGTAATTGTTAGCGTATGACAATATTTTTCGTGTTTGTTGAACATTGCGACAATAAATGCGCAAATTATTTCGTTAAGTAGCCAGAAACCACCTACGGAACATC